TATATATATATATATATATAAAGTATAAATAAGCTGGAAATCTCGGTATAGATTAACGTTACAAGAATGTTTTTATATTTATTGGTTCTCTTTGTACTTAGCGCGTAAGACTTACACTGAGCTCGCACGTCCATTAGTTTATCTCGTCTCAGATGTGTTTGCTTCGTTCCTTTTCGATTGTCCGATTGTCTACTATATTTATCTGATGGCTTCGTCTTAATGTTTTACATGCCGTTAATACCAGTTTCACAGAGTCAAAAGCCATAAAAAAATTTGAGAAAAAAACAAAAAAAAATGATAAAGTAACTGTAGGATATACATCTATAAGTCAACAACAAGAAAAAAAAGAAGCGCTTTGAAATCCATGTGAATAATTAACATTAAGGGTAATTAGATCACATTTTTTGATGAAAATATATTTAATAGTAGTTGGCGTTAGCTTATATATATAAGAAAAAATAGTGATTTCGTAAGTTTTTTCCAAACACTACATTTAGACCCGCCCTCCACAGGTAGATACAGAGCCCGTTACAATTATACACACTGTAGCTGACTATGCAACAAGTCAACAGCCAGTCTCTTTAACCGCCTCTGCGGGGGCTGGCACCGCCCTTTCCGGCCGAGAAAGGATGTCCCTAGCAATCCATTCGTTTTCGAGGATCCCGTCCCACTATAACTGGCGTCTTTCACTCTTGATCAAATGACTGTATGCGCACCATATATAAGTAGTAAGTCGTCCTACCACCCCAGAGTTATCGCGATCTGTAAGGAGCTGGAGGAGTTCTAAAGGAGACGCAATTGACAAGACGACAGACTCGGCTTCATCGCAGACCTCTTCAATTCAGTAAAACAAACTCTAAAGATATCACTGGTGATAGTTTTACTCAGCATCACCAGAAAATACTTAGAATCAACTATCATACGTCGTAGACTTCAAGGCGTCAATGGTGTTACGAGCGTCTGGCATCATCACTTTTTACTATCTCAGATTTTCGCTGCGACTCAGCACAATGATGTTGATGAAGTTCCCTGTCAAAAGTACGCTATACAACGTTTTTCTTCTACTTGCTACGTTTCGCCTGCTAAGCCAATCTTCGATGGCGGTCCCCGTTGAGGGCGAATGCCTTCAGGGTACGAAACTAAGTGAAAACTGTCAACGTTGCGCAAAGTTTACGAAGGACGTAAATCTTTTCGCTTTATGCTGCGTCCCGGAAGATGACTACCAAAGCTCTGGACCCCGGAAGCAGCGAAGCGTCCGTAGCTGGTGTATGAAGTTCCTCGATTTGAAGCAACCCTATTACGAGTCTAACGCGTAGTAATTTACAGAACCCAGGACAAGAGCTCAGCGATGTTAGGTAATTCTGTATTATACAATAGGTAGGGATGTAGGTGTTGAGGCGATTTTGCGAGCAACAGCGGTGAAAATGGTAGATAATGTTAGAGGAGGGTTCGAGAAGCTTTGTCATCATAGAGGTGCCATTAACTAATGCAAACTGCGCAACTAACTGGAACTGAACCGAAGACACCAGACGACATATTTATTGTACTTTGCGAAGCTTTACTAGCATTTTGAGTGCTACCAACGCACCGGTGTTTTAATTTATTGAACAGAACAGTACGGAAATGAGGGCATGCAAACATCGCACGCGATTCTGTCAATTATTGTTTTCTAACTTCCGTCAGCTACTTGATAGTAGGTTACTTAAAATCAAAATTTCGGTAAAAAAGGTGTCTCATGCGAGATTATGCAGTGGAAGTGCCACTTAAAAGTGGTTTCAATCAATATATAGTTGAATATGCTGCGGATATTCAGCGACGAAGTGAGTTTAACAACTTTGTCCTTGACCTATGACATACTAGGCCGTCCTTTGAAGTGAGACAAAAAAGTTTGTCAGCCAACATTCCAAAAAGGTATTACGGAGCAGGCAATGTCTGCGCTGTTTGTTTATGCAGCTGGATCCTGGATTTGTCGTAGCGCTGAAAGCCGTTATATAACAGCCAATTATTATGATGACATCTTTGTACTTCACCAAGCATGAGGCAGCAGTTGTGTGTGGTACGACTAGCCAACTGTTTACCTCTCCTTGAATTTATTCTAAAAAAAGAACACAAAACTGTAGTATGGGAAAGTGTAGCCCCCTGAATTGTGTAATATAAGAACGATATGTTGTATACTTGCCTTAATAAAAATAGGGTTATTTAATTTCTAGAGCCACAATGGTACACCACTTTGTGCGATTTCAAACAAATACCTTTATGGCGGCTTCTTAGGCATATGTGGCCAACGTGTTGGCCTAATGACAAGCTGTTGTATAATATAATATGCTGAGGTACGTTTTTGAAGATACTGTAAAAGGTCTCATGTTTTGTGCTCGGTGATGACACGAAGCATTTTTTTTCGATCCAAAGACAGTTTCGACGCACGTGTTGTTAATGGTTTCAGAGGTGTCGCTGGTGCAAAGCTGTATACTCAATGATTCAGTAAAAACGTGATACGTAGTGTAACTTTTGTACCGCTTCCTTCAATTTACCCTTCAATTTATATTACAAAACAATAGGCAATGAGTTATCCGCGGCGTTATAGCCTTCAGCAATAAGGACATTTCGGCTTTTCCTTACAATATATTTATTTGAAATATTTACATTTTACGCCCAAAATGTTCAATATGAAACACTATTAAGGGATGCAATTATTTCCGTACGTAAAGAAGCGCATAAAACAAAAGTTTTCTTAATTACGTCTTTGAGCTACAGCTAATTACGCAATACTATAAGGGGCTTACCAAGATTGGGATTTTCTAGTTAACTTCTTGTTAATTTTTTTCCGTTTGAATTCGCATTGATTAGCTAATAAACATTTAGTCATCACTGGGACATTCTATCTAACTAGAACCGGCGTCACATAATCGCCGTTTGTAATATCTTAGTGGTTTCTTAAATCAGGTCGTTTTTATAACACAAGAGATTTTACCATCTGGAAGCGGCTGACTTCAGGACATAATGCTTTGGCCCATCACGACCTAAACGGCTTGAGGCGGCCGCCAGTTTTTGTGTTTTCTCGTGAACGGACCTCGAAGAGAAATCCTCTAGAAGGAAAAGGAAATCCTCTAGAAATAAAATCGGCAAAAATAATCTTGCCAGTGTTTCCCAAGCAACTGAAAAATGTTGGCTCTTAGCCTTACTGAGTCCGGTACTATTGGAATAGAGTAGTCTGATAGAGGATTGTTACAACTTAAAAGAGCGATGGCTGTGATTTAGTCTTATAAAAAGCTGCAATTGAGAAGCTCACGCAAAAACGACCAAAAAAAAATGAGCAGATACTTTTGAATGTTTTTTTTTGCGTCTCGTTAAAAAAAAAACTCAATTTTGGCAAATCTATTCAGTCCTGCCCCCATGCAGTCTCACGTTTGCTTCCACAAGCTATTGGCAAGATTTGGTCGACTTCACTGAAGATGCATTCGGCTGTTTGAATGGTATTAAATGTATCGGAACCAGTATCCTGGGACCATGGGACCATGCTGTTCTTCGAGAAGTCTCCAGAACCTTAAAAAAGCTAATAGAAAACAATAAACAACGTGTTCTTGCAAAGACGCGCTACGGTTATCAAAAGTTGTAAATAGGTGGTTTATTTGTCAGTCACTTCTGTTGTAGTCGAAGCAGCACCCTCAGTTACTTATTGGTATTAGTAATTTAGGCTCAGTTTAGGGGGTTTGCGCAATTTTTTTGACTGTAACACATTATAGGCATTGATGTGCTCAGTGTTGGGGCGTTGGAGCTAAAAAGCCTTAGAAAACTTTTTCTCTTGTGTACTTGTGATGATTTTGATGAACAATTTACTTATGATGCTTTTGTTTTAACTTAAATTCGTCAAGTTAGTTTGCGCCCGGTTATTAATGAACGGTTGTGTTGAGACTCTTCAAAAATATGAAAAAAATAGTATTTTTAAAAACGTCAAGCTTGATAAAACGAGACGTGGTAAAAGCCAAGTGATACACTATGCGTATTAAGAAGATTTGCCGTGTTTTGTGACTACAGCTGGTGATCCCATAGCCTTCGAAACTACAGATCCAAGTGCTTAACTCAACAGGTAAATCGACGACTATTTAGACTGTAGTTGGCCTCAAGAAGTTTTCTCGTACACTAGAATATTAATTCGCTGATATACCCTAGGATAGCATAAGTCGCCCTTCATTGTTTTTATGACTAAACGATTTTTCTACCTGTACTAAACTATCTTCCCTATAAACAAACATTTTCCCATCTCATAAACATGACCGAAACGGTGCTCTATTACAATGCTTGCTATTAATTATGATACAATCGTCATTGCTGTCCCCAGCGACATGGATTGCCCTCTTTCCCGCGCGGAGAGGGGATTTCTGGTGATGGTGGTCTAACGATCTTCGAGGGCGCACCGCGACGGCCTCAATCCGTTCTCGGCCCTCCAACGTTGTTGGTGTCACTCCTCACAGACAACGTACAGACCCTATAAAAAGATTGCCACCATCACCCCTACCTGAAAGCTGAAGCCTACAAACGGTTGACAGATCAAAGACGCAGCAGTGGCTAGTTTTCAAGTAAACCAACTAAGACAGCCGTAGCAGCTATTATACTTTAGGAGAGAAGGAACGAGGGAAAAAGCTGACCTCAAGCGTTATTACTTGCGACGTTTCGGAAGATTCTTTGCATCGCTCGTTCTTGCTTTTACGAATTTCAAGCTGCTGCCATCGTTCATTACCATGATGACTATCGCAGGGCCTGCAGTGAGGGGTATACTGCGCAGCGTTCTTCTTATCGTTATGTTGCTGTGCCTGTTGAATACGACGTCGAGGGCGGTGCCTGTGGAAGGCGACTGTCTTCCAGGCGGTAAGTTAACCGAACTCTGCCAGCGCTG